GACCTCTTTTTCCATTGCTTTTCCTCTTTTTTAAACAATTTTTCTTTAAAATGCGTCATCATTGCTTTCATTCCGACTAAATTTCGAATTCGCGTGCACTAAGAAATCACTTTTTTTTTTCTTTCGAGACCAATTGCGAAATTCTTTCCAATAAACAGTTCACTGCATTCCAGAACTCCGTTTTTTTCGACTTGCTGAACATGATAGCTTTAGAATAAGTGCTTGAAATGCTTGAAGTGTCATTGAGCACTTTTTCATTGACCAGCTTTGAGTTTTCTCAAAATTTCCCTGAAATTCTTTCATTCTGGAGGTCACTTGAGGCAAATTTACACAAATTTCAATTCGATTTCAATTCTTTTTCGAAATTCTCAGCTTCCCCCGAACGAGGTGAGCTGAAATTTGAGCCCATCCACAAACAAATTCACCATTTTCCCCTATTTTTCCATTTTTCCATTTTTCATTCGATAAAGTTATTCGTTTTTAAACTTTTGACCCATTATTGCACATCAATCTCCCCCATTTCCCTCAATTTTTTGTCGATTTTACAATTTTGTCATCTTTCTTCTCCCCAACTTCGTTCATCTTCTAAATAAACAACAAAAAATCGTTTCTCCTTTTTTTCTTTTACCTCATTTTTCTAATCGTAGACTATTCGGTTTTTGATTTGTAAAAGTTTAGAAATGTTTTATTTCTTTTATTGCTTTTATTTCTTTTATTTGATCCTTTTCCAACAAATTTCTAACAATTAGAACTTTCGTTGCGCTTAGTTTTACGGTTTTACAGTCTCAGTTTGACTTTTTCTAGTTATAAATTTAAAATTAAACTTTATTTTTACATTTTTTTACATTTTTTACATTTTATTGATGATTTTTAGGTTTCTATTGGGTTGATGAATTGAAAACTGCCGGCTATTGTCATATGTGACAGTTTGAGCACTTTCTTCGAAAGAAACCCATTTTGGTGTCAATGGAAAAGTTGTAGAGAATCAAAAATTAGGATTATAGCCAAATTTCCAAAAAGATAAGCTTAGTAGTTTCGCTTAATTTGTGTGTTCTGTGCGCTCTTTGTGCGGCCGCGTAATTGCTCGTCGTCTGGCGCAGGGCTTTTACATAACCCCCTTCCCTCTCCCTTTGCCAAACTAACCTGCCCGGCTCTGAATCCTCGAATTTGACATTGACTTCTCCTCAAATCAAGACTAATCTCAATTGTTTGGTGAATTGAAAACTGCCGGCTATTGTCATATGTCACAGTTTGAGCACTTTCTTCAAAAGAAACCCATTTTGATGTCAATGGAAAAGTTGTAGAGAATCAAAAATCAAGCTTATATCCAAATTTTCAGAACAATTCAAAAACTGGTTTTCAAGGAAATGCTAAATTTACGAATTTTCACAAAACTTGCATTTTAAGCGAAACTATCAAGTGTATCTTTTTGGAAATTTGGCTATAAGCCTAATTTTTGATTCTCTACAACTTTTCTATTGACATCAAAATAGGTTTCTTTTGAAGAAAGTGCTCACACTGGGACATCTCCAGATCTCCAGTCCTTCATTTTTGAGTCTCACACTTGTCTCACACACAAACCAAAATCCTACCACGAAAGAGGAATAGGCCCTCCAAGTCAAAAATCGTTCTCCTTTTATGCTTTAAGTTCAACCGTTTTCAAACAAAATTTTCCAATTTTCCAATTTTCCCCCTCTTGCCATCTCAAAAAGCAATTCACGATTTTCCCATTTAAAAAAATTGATCGACCTATTAGAATTACGGCTACAATTCACTCCAAACTACAATCTTACACCTGTTGTTTTCTCAAAATTCTCAATTTTCTAATACTTTACGATTTGTGAAAAGAAAGATTTGTTATTGAAATCCGCCAAAAACTCATGTTTTCTTTCCAGCTGAATTCTCAACTTTTCTCTACAAGCTAAAAAGGTACAATATTTCCCTCGCAATTAGCACAATTTGCAGACTTTCCAGAAGTTAATCAGTTAATTAGTTAGTTCAAAAGTTTTCATTTTCCCATATTCTAGAGCATACTTTTGATCGTAACTTTGAAAAAAGTTATGATCTCATTTTTCGAATTTTTAAATCATAGACTTGTTTAGTGGATTCCAGCTTGATTTCTGGTGTTTTGGAAATTTTCTGAATCATGGTAAAACGTGATAAAAATGGGTTTGTAGAGATCGGCTGGTCAGGGTTGATCTAAATGCTTATTTTAGCCCCTTGCACTTGTCCATTAGGCAATCTGGAACGCACAACGACACTTGTAAACAAAAATTCGTGAAAAATTTTCATTTAATTATGATTCTAGAAAGTTATTGGGTTGGTGAATTGAAAAATGCCGGATTTTGAACTAAAATTTATTCAACATAAAACCATCAATTCATTCCAAATAATTTTTATTATTATTGACGACCTCTGCTTATTTTACAGGCAATTTTTGGATTCCTCTTTCGTAGTAGGATTTTGGTTTGTGAGACTCAAAAATGAAGGACTGAAGATGTCTTGTTGTCCCAGTTTGAGCACTTTCTTCAAAAGAAACCCATTTTGATGTCAATGGAAAAGTTGTAGAGAATCAAAAATTAGGCTTATAGCCAAATTTCCAAAAAGATACACTTAATAGTTTCGCTTAAAATGCAAGTTTTGTGAAAATTCAAATTTGTGAAAATTCAACCAATTCAAATTTCGCATTACCTTGAAAACCAGTTTTTGAATTGTTCTGAAAATTTGGATATAAGCTTGATTTTTGATTCTCTACAACTTTTCCATTGACACCAAAATGGGTTTCTTTTGAAGAAAGCGCTCAAACTGTCACATATGACAATAGCCGGTAGTTTTCAATTCACCAATCCAATAAATGCCCCTTGCACTTGTCCATTAGGCAATCTGGAACGCACAGCGACGTATTGTAAAGAAACTTCTTGAAAATTTTTCATTTAAATGTTATTCTAGAAAGTTATATAGGAAATCTGGAAAGCAACGCGTTCAAATTTCCAAATTGTCGTTAAAATTGTCGAGCTGGGTGAGAGCTTCAAAAAAATTGACAAAATTGACATTTCTTTTGACCAATTTCCCATATTTTTCTCTTAAATTCAATCATTTCTCGTTCTTTTCGATTTCTCTTGGGAATTTTAGAGCTTTTTTTTTTTAAAATGTTCTCTTTTTGAAAGAATTTTCCAAAAAAACCATCATTTTTCTGAAAAATCGGCTTCTTTTTATATAAATTTCTTTAAAAATAAGAAAAAACAAGAAAAAATAAGAAAAAATTGCACTTTTTACAGCTGGAGAAAGATTTTAAAGAAATATTTTGAAGAAAAATGTTTTCTGAAGCTTTCTGAGGCTTTCTGAAGCTTTCTGAGGCTTTCTGAGGCTTTCTGAGGCTTTCTGAAGCTTTCTGAGGCTTTCTGAGGCTTTCTGAAGCTTTCTGAGGCTTTCTGAGGCTTTCTGAAGCTTTCTGAAGCTTTCTGAGGCTTTCTGAAGCTTTCTGAGGCTTTCTGAGGCTTTCTGAAGCTTTCTGAGGCTTTCTGAAGCTTTCTGAGGCTTTCTGAGGCTTTCTGAAGCTTTCTGAGGCTTTCTGAAGCTTTTCAAAGCTTTTCAAAGCAATAATATGAAAATTTCTCAACTTTTTGACAATTTTAAAGCTTTTTAAGTAAACTATGGATGTCACAAGGGCAAGATTTTTCGGGAAATTTCAAATCTGGAATACAATTAAATGGTTGATAATTGGAGAATTCGAGATTTGGAATTGTCCTAATTTCGGGAGGAATAATTGCTGGCTTTGACGAAAATTTAGAATCATTTTCCGAATTTTTATCTAGCTTTCTTTTCATCTTTCTCTTCTTTCTTCTTCTTCTTTCTTCTTCTTTTAAGTTCATTTTTGTATCTTTAAGAAATGTGCATTGTTAGGGAGATTCTTTTTCTCAAAGTTCTCTATTCATTTCCCATTTTTTTATCTGTCTTCAGACTTAGGTGTTCCTATTTGCGCAGATCACAATCTGCTTCCAGATTTCTCGATCCCTTGCTATTGTCATCCAGTGTTTCCTAGCTTGATTGTTCCTGGTTCGAAGTCTTCGACTTGCTTGTGCTGGTGGTGGTTGCATTCTAGCCATCCTTTCTCTGACCGTCTCTGCCACTCTTGTGCTCCACCTCGTTGCTGGTCTTCCGATGGGCCTCTTCTGGTCTCGTGGTAGCCACTCTGTGATCCGTCTCGTCCATCTGTCGTCTGTTCTTCTAGCTACGTGGCCGGCCCAACTCAGCCTTTTCTCTCAATCACTTCCACTGGATCTCTGAGTCCCGAGAGCTGGCGCATATTTGTACTTCTTAGGTCTTGGTCGAGCTGCGTCTTCCTATTGCACCCGAGGAAGTTCCTTTCAAGGGCTCGATGCGTCGTTCTCAGGGCTCGTTCAGTGGTCTGTGTCGTGGCTCAGGTCTCTGTCCCGTAGCAGAGTGCCGGGAGGACAGTGCTGTCGAAGAGGTGTGCCCAAGTTCTCTGATGATTGGCCTCTGATGAGGTCTTGGCCGAGCTGCGCCTTCCTATTGTGCTCTTCCGTCTTCCTTTTTCTTCTTCCCCTTCTTCTTCTTCTTTCTCTTCTTCCCCTTCTTCCTCTTCTTCCTCTTCTTCCTCTTCTTTTTCTTTTTGATCTATCAATGTGCTGATTGTTGAATGATTAGAGCATTCTTTTCTTCAAGTTTTAACCGTTTCAACCCTTTAGACTTGATGAAATTCGAAATATTCGTCTATTTTTTGAAAATCGAGTAGAATTTGAGCTTTTTTAATCAAATTGAATCACGGAATTGGTGAAAATGAGCAATTTTTAAAGTCTCATTCTCATTTTTAATTTTTTTTCTTTTTTTTTCATTTTTAAACCATTCAACTCAGCTTTTCAGCCTTGTTTTCTTAAATTATTTCATTTTGTTTCGCTATTTTCATTCTTATCTTTGAGAATTCAGTTTTCTCCTTACAAAAAACAAACGCTTGAGTGGGTGTTGGCGGTGGAATTGGAATGGTAAAAGGAACCCTCCGCAATCACTCCAATATCGGGCCTATATCAAAGAAAGCGGTAAGCGAAACGAAAATCGGCTTGATTTTCCTTCAATCCTGGATCTCATGCTAGATAATCGAAAAAAAGAAAATCGATTTCCAGACATTTCCTTGTCTTCGAATTAGCTTCACTTCGCTCACTTTTCCCCTCTCATTCCTACTCATCGCCGCGCTTCTGGTGAACGAAATCGATGCAAAAGTCGTCCGGAAAGATGAGCAGGTCAATTTTAAAGTTAAAATTCAATCTAAACTGGTAAAAGTTTTGTTTAAAGATGCTTAAAAAAAGATGATTTCGATTTTTTTCCTTTTCGTGACTCATTTTCTCAAAAATTCTTTCTTTTTTCATAATCAAAAATATCAAAAGAAAGCTAAATATAAATTCTATTGCCATTTGTTTTTCTTTTCATCATTTTTTATTTGTTTTCTTTAAGAAAATATCGAAATAAGCGATAAGAAAGAGTCCTTTTTTGTCAGATCATTCTTTGAATGACGAAAAGCTTTGTGGAAAAGTTGAAAAATTAACAACTATAAGAATAGCAGGAGTTTTCAGCTGCTAACGCAGCTCCAGATTAACGCAGCTCCAGATCTGGGAGCATGCAGCTCTAAAAAGGCCTATTGATTATTGATTTCATTGTAGACAAGGCTGTGCATTATTTTATTTCGACAAACGGACGTTTCTTCTCTTTTATATATAGAAAACTATAGAAATTGACTTTCCAACAACTTAAAATCGATTTTGAAAAGAAAAGCAAAACTAATTTTCTCGGAGGGGGACCGAACCCACAACCCCTCTTTCCCACTCTCGTTTGAGAGACGCGCGCTCTAACCACTCGACCATCTGCGAAGGGGAAGCTAGGCAACATTGGGCTCTAGTTTTACAGTTATCTGTCACCCAAACCAATCTGTCACCCATTTTTAAAATCTCCCAATCTCTCCGCCATCTTTTTCGGAGTCAAAGTGTTTGTTCGCCAAGTCATCCATCGACCGGAATAAGTAGTAATCAAAAGGCGCAAGATCAGGGCTGTATACCGGATTAGCAGCACCTCCCGTCCAAGTGAGTTTCGGGTAGAACGAGTCATCGAAACATACGGTCTATCATGTTGAAGAATGTTTTTTCTCTTTGAGGTCTTTCTCTGGCAAAAATTTAGCTGACTTTTCAATTTGCTTTGAGCATTTAATTCAGTTAAGCAGGTCCGTATCCAGAAAAAAAATGCCCGGAAATGCCCCTCCTCTGGGTACGGATCTGAAGCTTAATGTTCTTGCTATTCGAAAGTTCCCAGTAGATAGACTCTTCCAAATCTCAGGGCATCGAGAGCATAAACTTCTTCTCATACACGGCTTGACGTCGGGCTCGAGCTTTTCCCCTTCAGCAATCAATTGGCGTGTTCTCCAAACACAGCTAGAATCTTTTCATCCTGATTTCTGGCACGTTGCCATTTCTGGCTGGTTGTTAAATCATGTGGAATCATGTGGAATCCAAGTTCCTAATAGGGTTTAAATCCAAGTCTATGCAATGTTCAAGTATTGGATGATTAACCGATAACTCTTCTGCTATTTCGCGAAAAGACATCCAGCTGGACTGCTGGATGGCCCCATCCTTTGTCTTTGGGGATTAGCTAGACTGCTAGATCTAGCTAGACTGCTAGACAGCTAGATTGCTAGATCTAGCTAGACTGCTAGATCTAGCTAGACTTGTAGATCTAGCTAGATTGCTAGTTCTAGCTAGATTGCTAGATCTAGCTAGACGGCTAGGCTGCTAGATCTAGCTAGACTGCTAGATTCATCCCCAGAACATTAACAAACCAGTTTGCACATGTCTGAGCTGATCCTTCGACATCACAATTCTCAATATTAGCTGAACATTCTTGTGTTCTTGTAGAAATACGTACAATCTAATGTTCTTTTAGAAATTCGTACAATCTAATGTACAATCTAGTGTATAATCTAGTGTACAATCTCATGTACAATCTAATGTACAATCTAATGCCATCTAATGAGATTTCCAATCTCCAATCCAATCTCATCCCAATCCAATCAATTCTCGCAGATTTCCAAGTCGATTTTCAATAGTTAGACTAGAGTAAAGTAAAATTCCAAAATCCAAATATGTCAAAAGTGAAAGTCCATTGCTTTTCTAAGAGTTCATTTACCGATTTTCCTAAAACCCTTTACTCTAATGTTTCTTTAAATCTCTAGGCTTATTCTGAAAACCCTGCCATATCAAATCCACTCTGCCAATCTGCCAACCTTTACTTTATCCCATTTTCCAGACTCCACCACTTTCCCCGGTGACAAAAGATTCGGCGGGAGACTCGCTTGAAGTCCTTCCCGTCTTCGTTCGTAAAGCAAGTGCCCGATCGATCAATGTAATCACGATTGAAAAAGAGCCGCAAGTTTCCGGAGCACGAGTCGAATCTCCATCCGACTCGACTTCCGAGGCAATCTTTTTAGGACACACGTGAGTGTTTTGACTCAACGATGAACTTGCTTTTGATGTAGAGAAATGAAAATAATTGTTTACAGGGAAAAAGGCGAATCAATCGTGGTCCCGAATCGAATTGTTCAATACACTCTTTACGGTTTTTGGTTGGATGAAGTGGTGGCGGTAGGTGAATTGGAATTCTAAGCACAAAATTGCGTCTATTTTCATCCAAATGCAATTCCAGATCGCTTTCACTGTCACAACTTGCCTGGAACCCGGTTACCTCTTCGAGCAAAAGGATTTCTCTCTTCAAACTGATAAACGGATTACGTTATATGGACAATTCCAGAGGTAACCGCTTGATTTAAAGGTTTAAATCTCTAAGCTGGAACGCACAAAACTTGTCTAAACGTTTTCTAAACTTTTTTAAACATCAGAAATCATTTCAAATTTCGGATCACATTATATGGACAATTCCAGAGGTAACCCTGTGATTTAAAGGTTTAAATCTTTGATCTGGAACGCACAGAACTTGTCTAAACGTTCTTAAACATCAGAAACCATTTTAATTTTTCAGTCATGAGACCGAGATTCGTCTTTGTATCAAAAATCGCTCAAAAGACAAAACAATTGCGAATCAATTCGAAGAAGTTGTCGAGCATCGAACTTGGCTTTCAACCAAAGTCCCGCCAAGGAAATACTATTTTCCGTTTGCTGTTCAGGTGATGAAGGGATTCGAAGAAATGCAACATCGACTTTAGGTGACAATTCTCGCGTGTCTTCTCGTCTTATCCGGTCTCTTTTCGGGGTTAAATCTTGGCCTAATGGCTCTGTCCACTCAGGAATTGTTACTGATTATGAAATCTGGTTAGTTAAATAGTCAAATGAAAATTAAACAACGAAATTTCAGGCTCAAAAACCGAGCGCCGCTACGCCGAGACAATTTTGCCGATTCGCGAGCGCGGAAATTTACTGCTTTGTACATTGCTACTTGGTGAGTTAGCTAGGAAATCTTCAAAGTCTTCAAAGTCTTCAAAGTCTTCTAAATCTTCTAAATCTTCTAAAATCTTCAAAATACCCTTTTTAGGAAACGTTTGTGTGAATTCGGGTATCTCAATCCTTCTCGATGATCTCTCATCCGGTCTTGTCGCTCTCGTTGTCTCTTCGGCGGCTATCGTCATCTTTGGAGAGATTTTCCCGCAAAGTCTTTGTGTTAAGTGAGTGTTTTGGGAGGCACAACAGACGGGAAATCTCAAAAGAAACAAATTTGAAACACTTTTGTGTCAAAACAGCTCAAAACAGCTCAAAACAACTCAAAACACTTTCTCGATCTTTTAAGCAAGCTTTAAGCTGACTTCCAGTTAGCTTTAGAAAGTCTAGTTAGCTTTAGAAAGATTTAGAGAGCTTTAGAAAGATTTAGAGAGCTTTAGAAAGCTTAAGAAAAGTTTAGAAAGCTTTAGAAAGGTTTAAAAAGCTTTAAAAAGCTTTAGAGAGCTTTAGAAAGCTTTAGAAAGATTTAGAAAGGTTTAGAAAGCTTAGAAAGCTTTAGAAAGGTTTAGAAAGGTTTAGAAAGCTTTAGAAAGGTTGAAAAAGCTTTAGAAACCTTTAGGAAGCTTTAGAAACCTTTAGGAAGCTTTAGAAAGCTTTAGAAAGGTTGAAAAAGCTTTAGAAACCTTTAGAAAGCTTTAGAAAGATTTAGGAAGCTTTAGGAAGCTTTAGAAAGATTTAGAAAGATTTAGAAAGCTTTTTCTTTTCTTTATTCAATCTAGAATAGGATATTCAGTCTAGAATAGCTAGATTACGGTATTTAGTTTAGATTAGGGTATTCAGTCTAGATAGAGTTGTCAGTCTAGACTATTTGGATTACGGTATTCAATCTAGAATAGGATATTCAATATAGAATCTCTAGATGACAGTATTTGGTCTAGATTAGGGTATTCAGTCTAGATCAGAGTATTCAGTCCAGTTAGAAAGTTAACTGGGAAGCTAACTAAGCTTTCTGCGAATCACTGTAGCTTTAACATAGAAGACATCTTCAAAAGATCAATTCCCTTTACAGAAAAGGTTTGGCTGTGGGTGCGCACACGATTTTCATCACTCGTTTCTTCATGGTTCTCACTTTTCCCGTCGCTTTCCCGATCTCAAAAGTGAGTCAAAGATCTTTGATCGGCAAATCTAATCGTCAAATCTAATCTTAGATATTTCCTTTTAATCTTTATCTCTTTATTTACGAATTTACAGATTTTGGATTGGATTTTGGGTGATGAGGTGGTCGCGTATGACCGGAAACGACTCATGGAATTGATCAAGGTGAGCGAGGAAATCGAAAATGAACGAAAAACTGGATTTTGGGAGAAATATGAATAATTTTATTACACAAAAAACCATGAAATGCTTTGAAAAAACAAAAAAAACAGATCATAGCAAGTCAACAATGGAATTGAGCGCGCTTTTTTTGTGAAGCACAAAAGGGACGGTGATTCTCTGAGATTAGTAAAAAGATACCCTTTTTGAATCACATTTTAGGCCCCGCCCCCTTTTGCCATTGGCAATCCAACTTTGAGCTCAAATATCTCGGTGTTGGACTGTCCAATTTAAATATCCTTGATATCATTAGATGCGCCAAGTCTTTCTCTGTCGATTGGTACAAAAACTATTTCGATTGGACAACCCAACACGAAGATATTTGAGTTTAAAGTTAGATTGCCAATGACAAAGGGGCGGGGCGATTGTAGGACCTTTTATACGCGTTTTTTCGAGGAATCCAATAAACACTAAAGTCTAGCTGGAAGCATATTAAAAAGCTGTGCTTCAAGCGATTGTGGAGACCTTTTGGCAGACCTTTGGAGATTGTGGAGACCTTTGGCATTGTCAATCTAACTTTAAACTCAAATATCTTCGTGTTGGGTTGTCCAATTGAAATAGTTTTTGTACCAATCGAAAGAGAAAGACTTGACGCATCTAATGATATCAAGAATATTGAAATTGGACAGCCCAACACCGAGATATTTGAGTTCAAAGTTGGATTGCCAATGGCAAAAGGGCGGAGCGGATCAAGTGTTCAATAATCCTATTTTATTGATGAATTTGTTCAGATGAACGCGAAAGATGAGAACGGATTGGCTGAAGAGCTGAAAATTGCTGTTGGTGCGATGGAGATCTCGGACAAAACCGTTTCCGATGTGATGACGAAAAGTGATGTGAGCTTTGAGATTGAATTTTTGAGCTTTGAGATTGAATTTTTCGAAGTTCAGGATGTGTTTATGTTGCCCGATACAACTGTGCTCAACACGAAAACGGTGGCCGAGATTCTGCGAATGGGATACACGAGGATACCCGTTTATTCGGGAGATAGGAATCACGTGGTGAGCGGGGGAAATCTTGCGCCACTCATTCGCTACCGTAACTCCAGTTCATTTGAGCTGGGTTTGCTGTGGTCAAGTTAGTTCAGCTGGGGTTACGGTAGGCCATCGTAACCAAACCCCAAATAGCCGATTCTACAGTAATCCACATTAGCACAACGCTTCTAAAATCTATTTTCTAAAAATTAAAAATTGATCTGATCTGAGCAATACCGATTTTTGCATGCTATCCAACTAAGAAAAATCCAAAGTTTTATTAAAATCTGTCTACTCAAAAAAAAGATAATAGGGTGAACAGGTATCCAGGTTTACATCGTCATTAAGTTTGATCTGATCAATGCAAATTTTTGTGTGCTATCCAACTAAGAAAAATTCAAAGTTTGACTAAAATCTGTCTACTTCAAAAAAAGATAATACGGTAAACTGGTTTCCAGACTATTTGTTTCAAAAACCAAAAACAATAAAAATCTGATCAATGCAAATTTTTGTGTGCTATCCAACTAAGAAGAATCCAAAGTTTCATTAAAATCTGTCTACTTAGAAAAGAGATAATAGGGTGAACAGGTATCCAGGTATCTATTGCGTAATTACGTCTGATCTGATCAATGCAAATTTTTGCATGCTATCCAACTAAGAAGAATCCAAAGTTTCATTAAAATCTGTCTACTCAAGAAAAAGTTAATAGGGTGAACCCTTTCCAGGCTTTTTCTTCCAGATTTACAACTATTATACCATATTGCGTATAACGTCTATTATGTAATTACGTATTAAACCGTAACTACAGTATCTAGGGAAAGCTATAGAGTCGTTGCTATTGGACTTTTCAAGTTCGATACTGAACCCATGAAGGTTTTAGATCTTTCAGCTTTCAGTTTACAGCTTTCAGTGAGCCAAAAATTTCAGGTATCGCTTCTTTTCGTTAAAGACTTGGCTCTACTCGATCCGGACGACAATTTCACGATTCAAACCGTTTGCGGATATCATCAACATCCATTGCGATTCGTTATGCAAGATACGCCGTTAAGAATGATGTTGGAAGAGTTTAAAAAGGTCAGCGACAAGAATTAGATCGACAAAATGAAGTTTTCAATTCAAAAGCCTCATCCAATCATTCATTTCTAGGGTGACTACCATTTGGCGATGGTTCAAAGAATCGTTTGCGCTGAGGACACTGATCCAACGTATGAGCTGGTTGGAGTGGTCACACTGGAAGATATTGTTGAAGAGATTCTTCAGGTGAATGGGAAAAGCTAAGAAAATAGCTCTAGCTGAGTAGTGAATCGGTCAAAAGTTGACTTTCAATGAAATTCTCGATCTTGATGGACCGAAATGAAATCCTAAACCAAAAAACAGTTTTTACCACTTTTCAACCCTTTGCAATCTCTTTTTTAACCAAATTTCTACTGTCTACAAGGCAAAAGCTAACAAAAATCTCGATTCTGATCTCTAATCCAGTGATTTTCAGGCCGAAATCGTTGACGAGACCGACGCCGTCACCGACAATGTTCACAGAATTCGGAGACGTGGAGCACAGGTGAATTTTCTTCTAGAGCAATTAGAATTCAAAAATTCGGCGACAATTTTGTATCATGAGTTCCAGCTTGAAAGAATTTCAATGAAAATTTTGGATATCCATCACATAAAACTCAAAAAGTTGACGTAGCGCTATCGTTGTATTGCGTTTTTCGATTTTTGCTCTCTCGCTTTTTCTTTTTATGTGTCATTCGAACATGACACCCAGAATTGCTGTTTTCGTTGTTTTTTTCATTTTCTCATTTACTAAATCCGGAAAAAGGGCTCCGAAAAGGAATGCTCACTCGGCTCACTCACTCGGCTAAGCCCCGCCCCTTTTCGGGAAGCGAGAAACTCAAATCCACTCATCTGATTGCATTACCCGCGTCTCATTCTCACTTTTCTTCCGCAAATTGGCGCAAATTGGCGATTGTTTCTATGCCAAAGTGATGGGGGAAAATCGAATTTGAAGAAGCGACTCTTTTTTTGATATTCTTGACAACTGAAATGCGGAATCTCACAAATCCAAAAAATTTGGATGAACAAAGAATCCAAACCACAATGTCAGCTATTGTATTACTTCATCCATCATCGCCAACTCGATCAAATGAAGCGGAAGCTGTTGGACCGCGATTGTCGACGAGTAGTTTACCGGAGAATTCGAACAGGTTGGCGCAGGTTTAAAACTGATTTTTGGCGCTGGATTCTAGCGTGTCTAGGCTGGATCTTTCCAAGATCTTCTCAAGATCTTTCCACAATTCCAATCCTCTCCAAACCCATCCAATTCAGCGTTGTTCGTCAAAAACTCTATCGTCGCTGGTCACCGATTCCTCTATCGGATCGACGCTATCAACGAAAAACCGGTTACAATAGCCAAATCTCGTACAGTGGCTCGAAACCAGCCTCTTCTCGATGCTCCCTTTTAATGCCGGTCTCCGCGAGGCCCTCTTCTTCTCTGAGCACTTTGGATGTACCCGCTTCTCCAAGGTCAACTCCCAAAATGTCCGTTTCAAGATTGTCCAGGTAGGTCTACAGCCATTGTGAGCTCCAGAAAGGGCATTTTGCTTGAAAAATTGGGTACTTGCTCTTGCTAAAGTCTAGAAAACGCCTTTGTCTTCTTTGCTTCAAAAAGCAACAAGCAAAATGCCTCCCAGCCCTCTCATTCCCCAGAGTGCCATCCAGAATCCCGATTTCTCATAGATTATCCTATCAACAATCTGGTGGATCGGCTTATTCTCAAGCGACAACCTCGATTCTGAATGGATATCAAGGATCGACGATCGAATCCTCGTATTTTCGATATTTTTGCTCGCTTTTTCTTCTCATAATTATCACCTCGACTTTCGTGGCCGTGTTGATCGTCTGGAAAACGAATCGCAGCTCGACGATCGGCTTTTTGTGACAATGGTAGTTTATCTAGGGATTACAGCAACTTTTCCAGGTTGTTGAAGGCAATTCCAGTTTTCAGGACAATATTTAAACTCGATACCATAAGCATTGAACATCAGAGTGTCTAAAAACCCGATTACAGTAGTCTTTAGAGGCCAGATTCGGTTCTGATTCAGCTCTGATTCGGGTTTGATTTGGTTCCGATTTGGTTCTGAGTTGGTTCTGATTTGGATCCGATTTGGATCCCATTTGGCTTTGATTTAGCTTTTATTTGGCTTCGATTCGGTCCGATTTGGTTCCCATTTGGTCCCCATTTGGTTCTGATTTGATTACGATTTGGTTACCATTCGTTTCCGATTCGGTTTCCATTTGATCCCCATTTGGTTCCGATTCGGCCCCGATTCAGCTCCGATTCGGCCCCGATTTGGTTCCGATTTGCTTCCGATTCGGTCCGATCCGGCTCCGATTCGGCTCCCATTTGGTCCCCATTTGGTTCTGATTCGATTTCGATTCGGTTTCCATTTGATCCCCATTTGGTTTCGATTCGGCCCCGATTCAGCTCCGATTCGGTTCCTATTTGATCCCCATTTAGTTCTGATTCGTTTACGATTTGGTTACCATTCGTTTCCCCTTTTGGTTCCCATTTGAATTCTAAAAATTATCGTACCTCCATGATCCCAGTCTTGAAACCGTCATTAAAATGCTTTGTAGCTTATAGCTTTGTAAAGGCTAAGCTGATAGCTTTGCAAAGGCTAGGCCTAAGCCTAAGTCTAAAGAGCATGGCTACAACCGTTAAAACCTCAATTCAGTGCCATTTGCCTTATCACTGGATCAATTTTCTCAAGTTAAAATCTCCGCTTTCAAATCGAATCCCATTTTTCCCCGTTCTCCAATTATTTCTCCAATTTTTTTCCCGCAAAAAATATTTACGACCCGATTTTCATTATCCCAATTATTTCCAGCCAATTTGTTTTGACTTTTTAGCTTTATTCAGCCAATTCTTGTTATGAATTCTGAATTTTTTTGTAAATTTGAGAAAACGGAAAACGGAGTACTTATGTGATGGATATTCAAAAAAAAGGATTTTCAGTAAATTTCCGAAATCCCAATTTTCAGGCCACCGACTTAAGCTATTTGGTGGCCAGCGAGGAGCCGTCCAGAGTCATTTCTGTGCAAATGTTGCTCGTCACAATGCAGGTATAGAAATTTGGAAAATTTGGAGCAAAATATTGGGGTTGGTGGATATGACTTGGTACGTTTTTTTGAAATGAAAATTCTTTAATGAACAACTTCAAATCATGCGAGATATTTGCCATTATTTATATATTATTTTTTTTTTTTTTTTTTTTTTTTTTTTTTTTTTTTTTTTATTTAATTTTTTTTTTTTTTTTTTAATTTAAAAAAAAATTTTTTTTTTTCCAACCACCCCACCCCCTAAAAATTTTTTTTTTAAAAAAAAAATATAAAAAAAAATTTTTTTTTTTTTTTTGAAAAATTTTTTTTTTTTTTGAGGTTTTTTTTTAAAAAAGATTTAGCTGACTTGTCAAATTGCTCCAAGTATTTGATCAAGTTGAGATCAAGTCTTGCTATCCAAAAGTTCCCAGTAGATCTCAAATCTCCAATCTGGAACACAATTTAATAGCTAGAACCAAAAGTACGATAAAACAAGAGAAAATGGCGAAATAGACAAAGAACTGAAAACTCTGAGTGAATTTCTAGCTTATGCTCTATTTTCTTGAGCTAAGTTCATGTCGAATCTTCAATCTGGAACACAATTCAATAGCTAGAATCAAAAGTACGATAATTTATCCAAAAAATTGCGAAAGGATCCCAGCAGGGCTGGGTGCCTCGGGTTCAGCAACTTTCACTCCACCCCTCATCAAAGCATTGAGAATACCATCGATATCCCTAGCACCTGGATTTTTTAATGATTAGATCTATCATTTCAAATCTCTTGGTACCTTTTGTGCTCCTTCCAAAGCCACTCCTGCTATCGAACAGTCGAGGTCTTTGCATTGTGGTCATTATCCACAATAGAATTCTATCGAGAAAGCGGCACTGATTTCTGACACATTGCCAGTTCTGGCTTTTTGTTAAATCATGTGGAATCATGAGGAATCCAAGTTCCTAATACGGTTTAAGCCCAAGTCTATGCAATGTTCGAGGATTTTTGTATTATTGTAACCGATAACTCTTCTGCTTTTTCACGAAAAGAAAGCCTTTTGTTGGTTTGAAAAATTTCGAGCAACTTGGCATTATCCAGCTGGCAACTTTGCTTCTTCAAACCATTCTTCACTCTCTATTTTCAGTGGCTCACAACAAATCATCAAGCTTTCACTCAAGTGATGATCTCACAATCAGTTCTGGAGAAGTTGATACGACAAAATGTGAAGAGGGTGAGTTCCAGATTGCCCGAATCTCGCCAATTTTTAAGTGATTGTCGTTTTTGCAGGTGGAATTAACCCATCTACCCGATATGTATGATCCAAAGACGGTGATCCCTAGAACGGCAAAAATCTACACGAAAGGCGAGAACACCGAGAAATTTGTGTTGATCCTCGAGGGACGAGCGCTGGTCACGATTGGACAGGTAAATAAATAAATATTGAATTTCCTTAAATTTTGACCCATTCTGGACCTCACTACGAAATTTCCAAGGAAAAATTTTCAAAAATCAAAAAAACTTTTTTTTTAAAAATTGTCGACTCCTAAAGCTGCTGTGAAATCCATGATTCACAAAAATTTGATTTTCAAAACCCGGTCACTTTTCTTTTTCTTTAAATCCTTACAAAATCCTTTCCTGATTCATTTTCTCATTCTTTTTCTCAATGACGTTTAATCCACGATGTTCAGTCGGCCGGTAAACCTCAAAATTTTGCTCAAGGGGAATCTTAATGAGCAATTTTGGCAGCACGATAGATAAAACGATGTAATAGAAAAAACTATAGAAAGATTACGGTAGTTTTTACCGTCAAAAGTTTGCCAAAAGTGCCAAAAGCTAAAATACAACACTTTCCTAATATATTTTCTTTATCCATCCATTTACCTCATTTCTTTTCTTCTAGACAAAGGCAAATGATAGGTATGAGCCTGAGTTGGAATGAAAAAGCGATTTCTTAAAACTAATCCCATTTCTGGAATATCTGGAAAGCAGTAGAGCTTTTCTGAATTTCTGAATATCGAAAAATCAAATTAGTAAAAAGAATTTTACATCGAATTTTCTATGGGAAGATTTTGAGTGAATAAAACACACAAATTGATCTCAATTCTGAAAGTCAGCCTACGCAAAGTACTTTCTGGAGCTCACTACAGCTTTTGCAATAGACAAAAGCTACTGTAAACTACTGTATGAAATTACAGGATAGGTAATGCTAGGTATGACCCCTTGTGAATCGGTATGAAAAAGAGATTTCCTAAAACTAATCCCATTTTTGGAATATCTGGAAAGCAGTAGAGCTTTTCTGAATATCGAAAAATCAAATTAGTAAAAAGAATTTTACATCGAATTTTCAGTGCGAAGATTTTGAGTGAATAAAACGCACAAATTGATCTCATTTCTGAAAGTTAGCCTACACAAGGTACTTTCTGGAGCTCACAGCAGCTTCTGCAATAGGCAAAAGCTACTGTAAGCTGGGGTTTTTCTCTGAGAATCTTGCTTTGTATTTTCATTGCGAAGATTTTGAGTGAATAAAACGCACAAATTGATCTCAATTCTGAAACTTAGCCTACACAAAGCGCCTTCTGGAGCTCACTGCAGGTTTTCTAATAGGCAAAATCTATTGTAAACTAATAGATAAAACTATAGAAAGATTACGGTAGTTTTTACCGTCAAAAGTTTGCCAAAAGTGTCAAAAGCTAAAATACAACACTTTTTTAATATATTTTCTTTCTCCATCCATTTACCTCATTTCTTTTCTTTTTTTCTTTTTTTATGGCTTCTCGTCTATATTTTCTGCACCTTTTATTACTCATTTATCTCCAAAAACGTAAAAAAAGGGAAAAAGGAAATGGATCGGAAATGGCTTTTTTTTCTTTTCAAAACATTACTAAAAACTCAAAGAGAAACAAAAAAAAAGAGTTTTTCTTTCAAATTATAGGATGAGATGACTTTTGAAGCTGGCCCATGGCACGCTTTTGGGACGGAACTCTTGGAGAGAATCTGCGAGCACATGAAGACAGATCGACCTCTAAAGTAAGCAAAATGTGAAAGGAAATCAGGGTTTTTGATTTGTGGGATTTGCATTCTGGAATGCACACTCATATTTGAACAATTCTGGAATTCTGGAAAGCATCCTAGAAGGATCAAGTTTTCAAATTTCTGGAGTAGCCATTTTGGGGCATACGTCAAGAGATGAGGATTTTATAATTTTTGGAATATGCATTCTGGAATGCACACTAGGATCCTGAAAGCTGAAAATTTCAAAAACTTCCAAAAATCTCCTTCCCTTTTTCCAGTAGCAGTCGTTGCTCGCTCACCGATCGCGCCGACGGGAACAAGGAAAAGAAAATCGGCTTCACGCCGGATTATTCGGTAAACTGGATAGCCCACCGTAATCCCGTAATTTCAATTCTCCAGGTGATCGTTCGCGACGATTGCACTTTTTTGGAAATCTCAGCCACTTCGTATCAACTCGCCTACAAAACGACGCTCATTTCGAGGGGTCCAAGGTAAATTTTCCACAAATTTCTCTACAATGGCATGCACCAAAGCCTTCTCCATTCAAAGAACCCAACTTAACCAACTTCTACAAATTCCCGAAAATTCCCTAGATGAATGTCTTGTGCAGTTTTCTCCCCTTTGTGTGCCCTTGTTTTTCTTGTTTTTTAAATGGCACTGCTGTTTTTTTGGGCTTAAACGAACTCTAAACGTGCTTCGGGCTTTTTGGCACTTAAAAAAAGCCCACAGAATTTTTTTCTTCTGAATGGTAGACTTTTGTGAATGCCAGAACACTTAGAAAACTGTTTTTGTAGAAATTTTGATAATGACTTTGATCGACAAACAATATCTGAGTTAACAAAGGATACTGTAGCCACTAATGTGCACTTTCTTGACAACTGACAAGAGTACTGTACTTCTAGACAAAGGCAAATGATAGGTATGGCCCTGAGTCGGAATGAAAAAGCTATTTCTTAAAACTAATCCCATTTCTGGAATATCTGGAAAGCACTAGTGTTTTTCTGAATATCGAAAAGTCAAATTAGTAAAAAGAAGTTTTCATTGAATTTTCTATGGGAAGATTTTGAGTGAATAAAATGGACAAATTGATCTCAATTCTAAAAGTTAGCCTAGAAACAATGCTTTCTGGAGCTCACCGCAGCTTCTGCAATAGACAAAAGCTAATGTAAGCAGGGGGTTTTTATCTGGGAATTTTGCGTTGTATTTTCAATGGGAAGATTTTGAGTGAATAAAACGCACAAATCGTTCTTGATTCTGAAATTTTGCCTACATACAGTGCTTTCTGGAGCTCACTACAGCTTTTCCAATAGGCAAAAGCTACTGTAAACTACTGTCTGAAATTACAGTTTAGGTAATGCTAGGTATGACCCCTTGTGAATCGGTATGAAAAAGAGATTTCCTAAAACTAATCCCATTTCTGGAATGTCTGGGAAGCAGTAGAGCTTTTCTGAATAGCAAAAAACCAAATTAGTAAAAAGGATTTTACATCGAATTTTCTATGGGAAGATTTTGAGCGAGAAAAACGCACAAATTGATCTCATTTCTGAAAGTTAGCCTACACAAAGTCCCTTCTGGAGGTCACTGCAGCTTTTTCAATAGGCAAAAGCTACTGTAAACTGTAACATTGCCTATGCCTTAGAGTACAGTACATTTTTGATAATAGATTTATGTGTTGTATGTCGATCAAAGCCACAGAAAAACACCTCAAACCTCAAAAAGTGTTAAATTTCTTTCTAAACCTGCACTTTTCTGAAAGAATTTCTCTCTAATCCGGCTTTCATCAGGTATCCCCTGCACAAACCATCAACCCAAGGCCATCACCATTATCAGGGATCAAATGAAAGTCAAAGAAAAGGCTTGAGAAGAACGTCGACCTGTCCAACGAAGATGGAACCACTGAATGGCCACTTCCAATCGCCTTCTCCAACTCCATCAGCATCTCCATCAATCTCCTCATCTCCCTGCCCCTCTCCATCCACTTCCCCACTTTTGCCGAGAAAACGATCAGACTGTTTTGCATTTCATTTAGCGTGAACATGTTAACAAAATGCTAAAGCTCAAAATCGAACTACAAAAAAAATAACTTTTCCTCTGTTAACATGTTTCAAAATTCCCTGACCATTTGCAAAAAAACTTTCAGTTAACTAACTGCTTTTCATTTGCACTATAGACTAGGAAAATTCCAAGCGAAAATTCGAATTCCAACTCGTTTTCTTAACTCTTTTTTGGTTAAGTTCTAAATTTTGTCTAAAAGCTGAAAATTTTTATTCAGAAGATCTAGCAAAAAAATTTGGAAAAGGCGGAATTTCCCATGTCTATCGTAGAATTGTGTGCAATTTTTGTATCTAGCTAAACTTTGTGTCTGTGCTTTACCGTATTTCCCCTTGCTAGTGCCTTTTTTGTTTGCTGTAGTTGGATATTTTGGGAAAAGCTACCGTAATCCGGAATGAAAAAGCGATTTCTTAAAACTAATCTCATTCCTGGATATCTGGAAAGCAGTGGAGCCTTTCTGAATATCGAAAAATCAAATTAGTAAAAAGAATTTTACATTGAATTTTCTACAGGAAGATTTTGAGTGATAAAACACCCAAATTGATCTCAATTCTAAAAGTTAGCCTATAAACAATACTTTCTGGAGCTCACTACAGGTTTTCCAATGGGCAAAAGCTACTGTAAGCAGGGGTTTTTATCTGGGTATTTTGCATTGTATTTTCAATGGGAAGATTTTGAGTGAATAAAACGCACAAATCGTTCTTGATTCTGAAATTTAGCCTACATACAGTACTTTCTGGAGCTCACTACAGCTTTTCCAATAGGCAAAAGCTACTGTAAACTACTGTCTGAAATTACAATATAGGTAATGCTAGGTATGACCCCTTGTGAGTCGGAATGAAAAGGATTTCTTAAAACTAATCTCATTCCTGGATATCTGGAAAGCAGTGGAGCTTTTCTGAATATCGAAAAATCAAATTAGTAAAAAGAATTTTACATTGAATTTTCTACAGGAAGATTTTGAGTGAATAAAATGCACAAATTGATCTCAATTCTGAAAGTTAGCCTATAAACAATACTTTCTGGAGCTCACTACAGCTTCTGCAATAGGCAAAAGCTACTGTAGCTTTTTTTTGTTTGCTGTAGTTGAAATAGCTAGAAGTTGGATATTTTGGCAAAAGCTACCGTAATCCTTTTTGGGCTTTCCCTTATCCACCTTTTAGCAAACGAGGTTTGCTTTTTGTTAGTTGAATTGCGTTTTGTACGGAAATTGTGCTCGTGTTTGTTTCCTGGTGATTTTTTAGATTTACTGTAGCTTTGCGATTTCTGTGGTACTGGAAAGATTTCAATTTTCAATCAATCCCCATCAATCAACCACTTATTCCACTTTCCTGCCACCCAATTCCTTTCAATAACCGCTTTTTTCGGGTCCAAAAACTCTACAAATACCAGTTTTTCCATTTTGATCATTCGATTTTTCCAAATTTTTGAAAATAAATCGATTCACGAGAAAAGCTTTCGATTTGGATAACATGACATCCAGAATCACGATTTTGAGTACAACTTTATTCTTTAGACCGTCAGTTGGCGAGGGAGCCACCCCGTCGATGCACAGCCCGCTTCTCCCGTATCCACGGACTGGGTCACAGACCTCCGTTGACCTCGTCACGCCCAAGGGACCCAGAGATGTGAGTTTTAAAGGCTGCCTGAAAGCGATGGACTTGTCAGGGCTATTCTAAAGCAGCCCAAACAGTTTAAAGTGCTATCATAATATCGAAAAGGTTTAAAACTTGACGAAAATGTTTCAAGTTTCAAGAATTTGTTTCAAGAATTTCCTTACCGCGCTCTTCACCGCCGAGACCGATGCCGAGAGGGCACAAAAATTCGAAGTAAACCAAGTGCTTAGCTTTTTGCATTTTTTTTCGGGCTTTTCGTAAATCCGTACCTAAATGTACTCTTTCATCGATCTTTAAAAATATTTCAAGTTGCTCCAGCGACTCAAGTACCGAAGAGGAACGTTTGTATAGGTAATGATAGGTATGACCCTTTGTGAGTCGGAATGAAAAAGAGATCTCTCGAAACTAATCCCATTTCTGGAATGTCTGGAAAGCAGTAGAGCTTTTCTGAATAGCGAAAAAGCGAATTAGTAAAAAGAATTTTGCATCGAATTTTCTATGGGAAGATTTTGAGTGAATAAAATGCACAAATTGATCTTATTTCTAAAAGTTAGCCTAGAAAAAGTGCTTTCTGGAGCTCACGCAGCTTTTCCAAAAGGGCAAAAGCTACTGTAAGCAAGAGTTTTTAGAAAGTTTGCATTGTATTTTCAATGGGAAGATTTTGAGTGAATAAAACACACAAATTGATCTCACTTCTAAAAGTTAGCCCACATGCAATACTTTCTGGAGCTCACAGCAGCTTTTTCAATAGGCAAAAGCTACCGTAAGCTATTGTCTGAAATTACAGTAATCGCTCCGCTTTTCACTGAACACTCACACCGGCTTAGCGCTTTCGAAAGACACGCATTTCCACCAAAAATGAAAACCCCTAGTCTTTGATGTATTTTCATCGGAGTGATCATTGTTGTGCGTGTACCCAAAAGATTTCTGAGTGGCTTTCTTCAAATAATCATTTTTCAAAGTTCTTCGTAAAAACAGAGATTAGTGAGCTTTCCTTAGAATCGAAAATTGAGAACTTTTCTAAGAATTCAAATTTCAGTTGGATCCAATTGCTCGCTTGAAACGAAACGGCAATGCAAGCACAAAAATGAGATCGTCGAGCGAAAGTGAACAGGTAAGGGGAATGGGCTACTGTAGACTGATGGTAAGAGTCTGACCCTTTGTGAGTCGGAATGAAAAGGATTTCTTAAAACTAATCCCATTCCTAGAATATCTGGAAAGCACTAGAGTTTTTCTGAATATCGAAAAATCAAATTAGTAAAAAGAAGTTTGCATTGAATTTTCTATGGGAAGATTTTGAATGAATAAAACGCACAAATTGATCTCATTTCTGAAAGCTGGCCTACATACAGTACTTTCTGGAGCTCACTACGGCTTCTGCAATAGGCAAAAGCTACTGTAAGCGGGGGGTTTTTCTCTGGGAATTTTGCGTTGTATTTTCAATGGGAAGATTTTGAGTGAATAAAACGCACAAATCGTTCTTGATTCTGAAATTTAGCCTGCATACAGTACTTTCTGGAGCTCACTACAGCTTCTGCAATAGGCGAAAGTTACTGTAAGCTACTGTCTCAAATTACAGTATAGGTAATGGTAGGTATGACCCTTTGTGAGTAGGAATGAAAAAGAGATCTCTCGAAACTAATTCCATTTCTGGAGTATCTGGGAAACAGTAGAGCTTTTCTGAATAGCGGAAAATCGAATTTGTAAAGAAAATTTGCATTGAATTTCCTATGGGAAGATTTTGAGTGGATAAAACACAAAAAATGATCTTGATTCTGAAATTTGGCCTACATACAGTACTTCCTGGAGCTCACAGCAGCTTTTTCAATAGGCAAAAGCTACCCTAAGCAAGAGCGTCCAATACATAGCGGGAGTGTCCAAACTTTTCGATTCACCAGTCCAGTCTGGGTTGAAATTTTTGTCCGGTTCGGTCAAGTCACTTCAATCCGGCTTACTTGGCATACAATTGTACTAATAGACAATTAAGTTACATCCTAGGTTCTTTCGAAAACTAATAGGAGTACCAAGAAAAGTAATCAAACCGAAAATTTCAGCACGAACTCATCCCGCGTGTCGATTTTCTGTCTCCCCGTGATGGTTCGCTGTTTTCCGAGGACTCGGCTCTCTCCGACAATTAGCTAAATCATTTCTCAGCCTCTAGTCATTGTACAAATTCTGTTTCAATTTTCAATTCAATTCTCAATTCAAAATTTCAATTTCAATTTCACCTTTTCATTCCCGCAAAGGATTAAGCGTGCCTTTGGTTCTTTATTTTCCTAATTTCATCAATTCTAAATGTCAACTTTCCCACCAATCAGAGCTTCTCCAAAACAAAAAAAAGCTTTGTCACTCCAAAAAATCTGTCATTCCCTAAAATTTGCATTTCTTTTCGATTTTCCGTCTTGTTCGCATAGATTTTATGAAATTTCTATCGACTTTTAAAGCTTTTATTTTAAATAAGCCTACCGGTAGCCATTGCCGAAAATTCCCGGCTCAATCAAAAGAAAAATAAGTGTCAAAGTTTGAATAAAAATGCTCATTTTTGGTTTAAGAGAATTTTAGGCATTTTTTTTTTAGTAATTTTTTTGTAATTTTTTTGTAATAAGTAAATTTCTCAATTTATGCACATAGCTCTAACGTTTCTTGCAATATTTTCGTTTTTTTTTTTGTTAATTATTTTTGGTTTATTGGAGAGAATGAAGAATTTTAGTTTATAAAAAAAAAAAAAAAAAAAATACCGAAAACTCAAACAAATACAGTCTCATCTTTTTTTTTTGGAAATTTCAAATGTCGAATGAGGAGCGCCAAATAACCGCCGCCGGTATTTCGCCGCCGTCGCTGAAAGTCGCCAAATTTCCTTCATTCAAACTGATTCATTTTCTGACTATGTTCCTTTATGTATTACATTTAAATGTTTCTGATTTTCTCACTCCCCAGCTTACTAACCGAGCAAATATTGGAGAAATCGGAAATTAAGAAATCAATAAAATGTCTGAAACTGACACGAATGCTTCGAAAACTGGCGGAGCGATTACCGTAATTTCAGACAATAGTTTACAATAGCTTTTGCCCATTGGAAAACCTGTAGTGAGCTCCAGAGAGTATTGTATGTAGGCTAACTTTTAGAAATGAGATCAATTTGTGCATTTTAATCACTCAAAATCTTCCCATAGAAATGCAAAATTTCTAAGAAACTCTTGTCTTAGTAGCTGAAACAGTAGTTTTTGCCTACTGAAGAAGCTGCTGTGAGCTCCAGAAGGAACTTTGTGTAGGCTAACTTTCAGAAATGAGATCAATTTGGGCGTTTTATTCACTCAAAATCTTCCCATTGAAAATACAATGCAAAATTCCCAGATAAAAACCCCTGCTTACAATAGCTTTTGCCTATTGGAAAAGCTGTAGTGAGCTCCAGAAGGTACTTTGTGTAGGCTAACTTTCAGAAATGAGACCAATTTGTGCGTTTTATTCACTCAAAATCTTCCCATAGAAAATTCGATGTAAAATTCTTTTTACTAATTTGATTTAGAAAAACTCTAGTGCTTTCCAGATATTCTGGAAATGGGATTAGTGTTAGGAAATCTCTTTTTCATACCGATTCACAAGGGGTCATACCTATCATTACCTATACTGTAATTTCAGACAGTAGTTTACAGTAGCTTTTGCCTATTGCAGAAGCTGTAGTGAGCTCCAGAAAGCACTGTTTGTAGGCTAACTTTCAGAATCAAGATCCATTTGTGCGTTTTATTTACTCAAAATCTTCCCATAGAAAATTCAATGTAAAATTTTTCTTACTAATTTGATTTTTCGATATTCAGAAAAGCTCTACTGCTTCCCAGATATTTCAAAAATGAGGCTATTTTTGAGAAATCTCTCTTTACGAAAGAACAAAGGAGATCGTCAGCACGTCAGCATTGTTTGCTAATTTGAAAGTCGTCGATCACTTACTATTGTCCTGGGTCCGAAGAAACGAATTGAATGGAACCGGTATCGATTTTCAGGTTGAAGATTTAAAGCAATGCTTATAATAAGTCAGACAAAATGTCTACACTTATAACTTCTATAATGCTACAAAAAATTTTTCTACAAATTTAAAACTTTTTGCACGATCAGAATCTTTCACCAGGGTTAATCCTTCTCTGAAATTCTCGACCATTTCACCCCATTCAACAATTCTTCCTAGTTGGATCTCATTCTCATTCTCATTCTTTGCCTCCACAGACCTGCAAACCCTCTCCACCGAAATCTCTATTCTTTCAATCCTTTCAATTCTCCCTTCTTTGCCACGCCTTTTCTCCGAAATTGGTCTCCCTTAGATTGCTCTTCCTCCACTTAGATTGCTTCATCTTCCTCACCCATCTAGACACCGATTTTCTCGGTTTTTCGTCTCTTTTAAAATTTTTTGACCACTCTGGTGGAAAGCTAGACTTTTAAGGTAAATTTTGATGCATTTGATTTTGATGCAACTCAAATGCGTTCCAATATTTGAGAATCTATCTATATTAGCATTATTTGATCAACTAGAGCCCAGCAACACTCTCAAAATCTTCCTCTCGAACACTGAAACAGCAGCAGTTTCGTTTCGTACAGTTTTTTGCTTCAACTTGAGTCAAATGCGTTCCATTACGACTGATTACCTCTTCGCTATCTCTATTTGGCCTATTAAAAAGCAGCAACGCCTTTAAACTCTAATTTTTAAATCTTTTAGTCCCTTCCAACGTTCTTGCTTTCTTTTAAAGTTTTCAACCAAACTCTCAGTCACTTTTTTTTGCCCTAATCTGAATATCCCTAAATCTCCCCTTTTCAAATCCTCGTCACACCTCTTTTTGACAAATCTTTCTCAATCTCCTCCGCATTGTCATCGATTCTTTCATTTTTGTCGTCATTGAAAACTTTGTTAGTTTTGAGAAATTTTCTTGAACCGTTTCTCTTCTTCTTCTCTTCCAATTTTTTTCACCAATTTATCGACTTGAAATCGCAAGTCGACTCAACTCAAGACAAATCGTCTTGTGAACATCTCAAACTGATCATTGAGAGCTCAGTCGATAGGTGAAAGTGATAATTGTAGAAAAAGAGGAGCTCAATTGTTGCACGTTTCATCAGTTGTTCTCAAAAACTAAACTTAGAGCTTATCAACTATTCTAATAGATTGAGTGCATGCCATAACTCGAGAATTCAGTCAAAATTTTGTTTTGTTGTAAACCAGAGTCGAGTGACACTGTCAAAATTGTTGCCCGAATCATCAGTTGTTCTCAAAAATTAAACTTAGAGCTCATTAACAGTTCAAAAGACTTAAGTGCATACCATAACACAAGAATTCAGTCAAAATTTTGTTCAATTGTAAACCCGAGTCAAGTGACACCGTCAAAATTGTTACACCATTTATCGGTGTTCTCAAAAAAAACTTAGACCTTATCAATAGCTCCAAAAAAATCGAATGCATCCCATAACTCGAGAGTCCACTCAAAATTTTGTTTTGTTTTCAACCAGGATCGAGTGACACTTTCAAAATTGTCGCACGATCCATCAGTTGATGGAAAAATTAAATTTAGAGCTTATCATCAATTCGAAAAGATAGGGTGCATCCCATAACTCGAGAATTTAGTTAAAATTTCATTCTATTCTATCCCAGAGTCGAGTGACACTGTCAAAATCGTGGCACGATTCATTAGTCGTTCTCAAAAATTAAACTTAGAGCTCATTAACAGTTCCAAAGGATCATGTGCATGCCATAACTCCAGAATTCAGTCTAGGTTTTATTCTATTGTAAACCAGAGTCGAGTGAAACCTTCAAAATTGTTGAAAAAAACTTTGCTAAATGAACCACCGATTGTCGATTGACTCATTTTGACTCATTTTTCTCAATTCTCAATTTCTCATCCAACACAGCTTTCCCTTCACAACCGATCTCCACCAAGAAGGGAAACCATGAAAGGAAATCATCGAGTCAATAAGTCTCTGCCCTTGGGTGAATGTGTGTGGTGGTTTGAGGAGAACCCGTTTTTCCTCGCCATTTCCCTTTCGCCTCTTCCGATCGCTCCAATTCTTTTCTATTCTCTCTCTTTTCTCTTCACTATGCCATCGCAAAATCGACAAATGAGAGTGGATCGCCAAGATTTTCACCGATTCCCACTTTTTTCGCCAACCCTTTTTCATCGACCTCAATCAGAGCGTTTATGACCTTAAGTGGGGTAATATTTAGGGTGATTCATCGAGAAATGACTTTATTTTCTTATTTTTGAGAATTTTGGATGTCAGCATCGTTTCTGAATTTCGTCTTCCGTTTCGTTTCGTTTTCTAAATTTTATCCTTTTCAGATTTCAATGTGCTGCTTGATAATCTTGCTATTATTACTCGGAATTTCAAATGCTCACCCATCTAAAGGATTTCAAATGCCTGTTGGGGAAGTGAACGTGGAAAAAATCGGACAAAGTGAGTTTCAAATAAAGGCTAAGATTTGAAAGGGATCATTCGATTGTGGAAATCAAATAAATCCAAAAAATCGATCGAAATCCACTGAAAGATCCACGGAAACGATTCGTGGATCTCAAAAATTAGCCGCTTCTCTCGTAAAAGAACCGGCTATTTTACGGCGTGGCTGAAAAATTTAAAGTTTTCCAGCAGAATTGACAAAATTGCCAGTGTTGGTGCAAGAAATGCAAACTCTGCGTGAATTTCTAGCTAATACTCTACGTACTTGAGCTAAATTCATGTCAAATCTCCAATCTGGATAACAATTTAATTGCTAGAAACAAAAGTACGATAAAACAAGAGAAAATGGCGAAATAGACAAAGAACTGAAAACTCTGAGTGAATTTCTAGCTTATACCCAACATTCTTGAGCTAACTTCATGTCAAATCTCTAATCTGGAACACAATTTAATAGCTAGAACCAAAAGTACGATAAAACAAGAGAAAATGAAAAAATAGACAAAGAACTCAACTGAAAACTCTGAGTGAATTTCTAGCTTCTTTTCTCTTTTCTTGAGCTAAATTCATGTCGAATCTCCAATCTGGAACACAATTCAATAGCTAGAATCAAAAATACGATAAGAGAAGAGAAAATGACGAAATAGACAAAGAACTGAAAACTCTGAGAGAATTTCTAGCTTAAATTTGACTTTCTTGAGCCAATTTCATGTCGAATCTCTAATCTGGAACACAATTTAATAGCTAGAATCAAAAGTACGATAAAATAAGAGAAAATAACGAAATAGACAAAGAAGTGATAAGAGAATTTCTAGTTTTAGTTTTCTAACAATAAGTTGCTGAACTCAAATCTCGCTCTTTAGTGTACGGAATTGCGCAACAACTGATGTCATTGACGAGTGAATTCATGCAAAATGGTCGAGCTTACGGTAGTCAAACATATTCATCGTCGAGAAATGGAGAACACGGGAACAGCATTCTCAATGAAGTCGTATCGGCAAGAAGTGAGTTTTTGAAAATTTGATTGAACTAACATTTGCAGGAACATTGGCTCCATCCGACGAAAAATTGACTCTCTACAATGAATACGGCGGTTTGGGCAGCTCTTCCCCATCGGGTAGACCAAAAAGCGGAATTCAATCAATTCTCAATACTTTTCTCGGTCAGGATTTGTATTGGTGAAAAGATTATTTATTGAATTTGAAAATTTCCACCTAATTAGACCTTAGAATTGCAGGTAGCTCAATGAATGAGTACTCCGAGCCTCTCCCACCACCACCGAAACCAAAACAACAAGCAACAGCTTCGGGAGAGGATCGTTTTTGGATTTCTTTGGTGAGTTTTGGCATTAAATTTTATTGTTCCTATCTTTCTAGGCCTTGGAGCTCCTACAGAGCCACCAACTACAACAACAGCCGCTCCACCGCCCGCCTCTCCAATGAGAAATATGATGGAAATGTTTGGTAGGTGGTTTACCGTATTTACTCTATTAGTGGGGTCCCCCACTATTTTTTCAATCCCCTTCCAGACGACCCCACTATTAGAGAGGACCCCACTAATAGAGTAATTACGGTTTCAGTACTTGAAAAGAAAGGAAAACTCTGAGTGAATTTCTAGCTTATACTCAACTTTCTTGAGCTAAATTCATGTCGAATCTCCAAACTGGAACACAATTTAATAGCTAGAATCAAAAGTATGATAAGACGAGAAAATGACGAAATAGACAAAGAACTGGAAACTCTGAGTGAATTTCTAGCTTATGCTCTTTTTTTGAGCTAAATCCATGTCGAATCTCCAAGCTGGAACACAATTTAATAGCTAGAATCAAAAGTACGATAAGACAAGAGAAAATGACGAAATAGACAAAGAACGGAAAACTCTGAGTGAATTTCTAGCTTAAATTTGACTTTCTTGGGCCAATTTTATGTCGAATCTCTAATCTGGATAACAATTTAATTGCTAGAACCAAAAGTACGATAAGACAAGAGAAAATGAAAAAATAGACAAAGAACTGAAAACTCTGAGTGAATTTCTAGCTTCTTTTCTCTTTTCTTGAGTTAAATTCATGTCGAATCTCCAATCTGGAACACAATTCAATAGCTAGAATCAAAAATACGATAAGAGAAGAGAAAATGACGAAATAGACAAAGAACTGAAAACTCTGAGTGAATTTCTAGCTTATACTCTATTTTCTTGAGCTAAATTCATGTTGAATCTTCAATCTGGAACACAATTTAATAGCTAGAATCAAAAGTACGATAATTTATTCAAAAAATTGCGAAACGATCCCAGCGGACCTCATTGTGCTTTAAAATTCTCTAAAAATCAATTTCTAGGATTTGTCCGACCCACCCCTCCACCGACAACCACCCAGCGGCCAGCAAGCATCATGGATTTTTTCGGTAACAAATTTTAGCACCAAATTTCACTTTGAACCGCGATGTGTTTCTGCTTTTAGCCTCACCAGAAGCTTATGCGAACGTTTTGCAAAATTTCCAACAACAGCCACAACTCTATCAACCACAACAAGTGCAAACACCAATGAATCAGTTCTACTCACCACCCCGATCGGTTCAGCCAAGCTATCAGCAAAATGTACAAAAGTACGAGAGATCTCCCGCTTATGGATATGATCAATACGGTATTGGCTTTGGCTAGACTACGCTTTTGTTCCTTTTTTTTCTGACCCAGATATGTGTTTATGTGTTCCATGTGCTTTTTAACACTTGCCACCGTTTCCAGGAAGAGCTCCCCAATTGGTTTCCCCTCAAATAAGAGCTCCCACTCAGCCATCGAATCAACAAATGTCTTTAAACGATTTTCAATCATCTGCAATCAATTATCTACAAGATCCACGCTCGAAACGCCAACAACGCTATATTCTTGACACTTTTCTTGGTACGCTTTGATTGCACTGTCTTGAAAACAGCCTTGTCACTGAATTCGCATTTAGGCGGGTCAACTGAGCAAGCAAAACCCCAACAACGAGCGGCGCCTATTGTTAATATGCTGGAAATGTTTGGTCTAATGGAGAAAACGACCACAACGCAAAGACCTCGACTGTTCGATAGCAGGAGTGGCTTTGGAATGGGCACAAAAGGTACCAATAGATTGAAATGATAGATCTAGTCATCAAAAATTCAGGTGCAAGCGATATCGACAATATTCTGAATGCTTTGATGAGGGGCGGAGTGAAAGTGGCTGAACCCGAGGCACCCAGCCCTGCTGGGATCCTTTCGCAATTTTTTGGATAAATTATCGTACTTTTGATGCTAGCTATTAAATTGTGTTCCAGATTGAAGATTGGACATGAATTTAGCTCAAGAAATTTGAGTATAAGCTAGAAATTCACTCAGAGTTTTCAGTTCTTTGTCTAGCTTTTCATTTTCTCTTGTCTTATCGTACTTTTGCTCTAACTATTAAATTGTGTTCCAGATTGGAGATTCGACATGAATTTAGCTCAAGAAAATAGAGCATAAGCTAGAAATTCACTCAGAATTTTCAGTTCTTTGTCTATTTTTTCATTTTCTCTTGTCTTATCGTACTTTTGGTTCTAGCTATTAAATTGTGTTCCAGATTGAAGATTGGACATGAATTTAGCTCAAGAAATTTGAGTATAAGCTAGAAATTCACTCAGAGTTTTCAGTTCTTAGTCTATTTTGTCATTTTCTCTTGTCTACCTGTAGCTGATTGCTTTACATCGATCAATTTCCCCCACCACCGCCATCAGTACCTTGATTTTGTGATTTGATACGGGTTTCATAATGTGTTTTTTTTATTTTTGTACATAAAATTTAAAGAGCTTGTACAAATAAATAAGTTTTTAATTGAAATTGATTAATTCCCGTTTCACTCAAATCCCACATCAATCGAGTAAGCTCTCTGTCGTTGTGGTGGCCGTTGTGGTCCATTTTTTCTATCACCAATAGCTTCTAGATGAACCATTTGATCGAAGGAAGGAGCTCTGGAAAAGGAAAAGGGATTTTCACTGTTCACCACAAATGAGTCAGCCTGAGCCTCAGCCTCAGCCTAAGCTTCAGCCTCAAATTTCAGCCTGAAAACTAACAGCCTCGAGCATCAGGCTTTAAATTAAACCAAAATTTCCCAACCTTTCCCAGGCCCGAACATCCCGTGGTTCTCGTACAAATGAGGAGGAAGATGGATTCTAAATTTTGGAAATTCTGAAATTTTGAAATTCTGAAAAGTTTTTGAAGTTTCGTGATATCCAACTAAGAGGAATTTTCACCGAAAAACTAACAAAAAAGCTTAATAACTAAAATTTAGCGAAGCGAAACGAAAAAGCCAACAAAACCTGCGTAAAACCCCGTGCATTCATCACGATTTCTTCTAGGATTTGATCTGGAACTGGAGAAATTCTATGAAATGAAATAATTGCTCTAACTGACCCTTATCGTTTTCCGTTTGACTCCGATCTCCACCGCGAAATCGGGGAATCGTTATCCCATTCAATAACAATCGAGTAATCCCTCGATAACAATATCGAGGACAATACCAGAGTCCCCTAAAGAGATATCATAGCTTTTTGAGACGCACTGACTGGCATAGAAGTCCTCCACAGCAAAAGCAACACCAACAACCGAAGAAAAAGGTCATCGTGAAGATGCCAAGAAAAGCCGTCATCCGATCGCGTAACTCGCCTGGCAAAATATTCAAGGATTCAAGAATTCAAGAATTCAAGAATTCAAGAATTCAAGAATTCAAGAACTCAAGAATTCAAGAACTCAAGGATTCAAGGAACCAAGGACCCAAGGATTCAAGGATTCAAGGATTCAAGGATTCAAGAATTCAAGAATTCAAGAATTCAAGAATTCAAGAATTCAAGAATTCAAGAATTCAAGAACTCAAGAATTCAAGAACTCAAGGATTCAAGGAACCAAGGACCCAAGGATTCAAGGATTCATGAATTCAAGGACCCAAGGATTCAAGGACCCAAGGATTCAAGGATTCAAGAATTCAAGAATTCAAGAACTCAAGGATTCAAGGAACCAAGGACCCAAGGATTCAAGGATTCAAGAACTCAAGAATTCAAGAACTCAAGGATTCAAGGAACCAAGGACCCAAGGATTCAAGGATTCATGAATTCAAGGACCCAAGGATTCAAGGACCCAAGGATTCAAGGATTCAAGAATTCAAGAATTCAAGAACTCAAGGATTCAAGGAACCAAGGACCCAAGGATTCAAGGATTCAAGAACTCAAGAATTCAAGAACTCAAGGATTCAAGGAACCAAGGACCCAAGGATTCAAGGATTCATGAATTCAAGGACCCAAGGATTCAAGGACCCAAGGATTCAAGGATTCAAGAATTCAAGAATTCAAGAATTCAAGAATTCAAGAATTCAAGAACTCAAGAATTCAAGAACTCAAGGATTCAAGGAACCAAGGACCCAAGGATTCAAGGATTCATGAATTCAAGGACCCAAGGATTCAAGGACCCAAGGATTCAAGGTTCAAGAATTCAAGAATTCAAGAACTCAAGGATTCAAGGAACCAAGGACCCAAGGATTCAAGGATTCAAGAACTCAAGAATTCAAGAACTCAAGGATTCAAGGAACCAAGGACCCAAGGATTCAAGGATTCATGAATTCAAGGACCCAAGGATTCAAGGACCCAAGGATTCAAGGATTCAAGAATTCAAGAATTCAAGAACTCAAGGATTCAAGGAACCAAGGACCCAAGGATTCAAGGATTCAAGAATTCAAGAATTCAAGAACTCAAGGATTCAAGGAACCAAGGACCCAAGGATTCAAGGATTCAAGAATTCAAGGACCCAAGGATTCAAGGACCCAAGGATTCAAGGATTCAAGAATTCAAGGACCCAAGGATTCAAGGACCCAAGGATTCAAGGATTCAAGAATTCAAGGACCCAAGGATTCAAGGACCCAAGGATTCAAGGATTCAAGAATTCAAGGACCCAAGGATTCAAGGACCCAAGGATTCAAGGATTCAAGAATTCAAGAATTCAAGAACTCAAGGATTCAAGGAACCAAGGACCCAAGGATTCAAGGATTCAAGAATTCAAGGACCCAAGGATTCAAGGACCCAAGAATTCAAGAATTCTAGGATTCAAGAATTCAAGGAAATGTTGAAACAAACCCTGAACGAGTGGCTCGTTTATTTCATCTTCTGAATCCAGTAACACTCGGAAAATGATGATGATGCCCAAATTAAGTAACATTGTCTAAAAATGAGGGCTCTGGCTTAGGGTCCAACTCAGTCGACTTCTCCAACTAACCAATAGCATCACGATTGTAATCAGAGTCCAACTTTTTGGTTTCCCCGATTCAACCTCTTGAAACATCCTGAAATTTTTCATTTTTTCATTTTTCAATTTTTATTTTTCAATTTTTATTTTTTATTTTTTCATTTTTTTATTTTTTTTATTTTTTATTTTTTTATTCTTTATTTTTTTATTTTTCTATTTTACTTTTTTAGCTATATTTTTAAATCATGACGTGTATTAAATGGAAAATTTTTTGAATCGAAAAGCGAAAGTTCATTAGTTCTCTTTTGGGATCAAGGTCATCAATCCTATTTTAAGCGAAAGTGGCAAAGCTTTCTAAAGTTTTCTTTAGAAAGCTTCTTTAGGTTCTTTAGCTTCTTTAGCCTCTTTAGAACCAACCAGCCTTCTATTTCGAGTTATTTTTAACATTTGAAACCCTTAAAAACCTACACGCAATTCTAGTTTTTAATTTTAAAACTCAGTTGTCTTTTCGACGATTTTTTTGAGCGTTTCAAGTACTGTGCGCTCCAGATCGATATAAAACTAAAACATCTGCCAACCAGTCATTTTAAAACCAAAAATTTATGATTAAATATGAAAACTTACATTTTTGTTATCTTCAATCAATAAAAAGTTAACAGCAAATTTTTTGTGTAAAAGGGAAATAGTGATTTCAAAAAGGACCATCATTGATTTTTTTTTGCGAGTAAATCGGCTCTGCATTTGCTCTGCATAAAATCTAACATGATGGTGGGAAAGTCAGTGTTTGAAAGAGCTACGTTCGTGTCGAAAAATTGAAAACAACAACCGATTACGTGTAGATATTTTTGATTATTTTGTCAAGCTTTTTGATCTTGAGTTATAGTCTTGAGTTTGTCTTTAGTTGCCTCCAGATTTCATATAGTTTTCTCAAGTTACGGTATGCACTCAAACCTTTTGAACTGTTAATAAGTTCTCAATTCCATTTTTGAGAACAACTAATGAATCGTGCCACAATTTTGACGGTATCACTCGACTCTGGTTTATTATAGAACAAAATTTGGACTGAATTTGCGAGTTATGGTATGCACGCAATTCTCTTGAACTGCTGATAAGACTTAAATTTAATTTTTCAGAACAACTGATGAATCGTGCCACAATTTTGATGGTATCACACGACTCTGGGTTACAACAAAACAAAATTTTGACTGAATTCTTGTGTTATGGCATGCACATGATCCTTTTGAACTGTTGATGAGCTCTAAGTTTAATTCTGAGAACAACTGAAAAAGCGTGCCACAATTTTGACCGTGTCACCCGACTTTGGTTTACAATAGAACAAGATTTTGACTGAAATTGCGAGTTATGGTATGCACCCAATCGTCTTGAACTGCTGATAAGCTCTAAATTCAATTTTTCAGAACAACTGGTGAATCGTGCCACAATTTTGACGGTATCACTCGACCCTGGGTTACAATAGAGCAAAATTTTGACTGAATTCTCGAGGTATGGTATGCACTCGATCCCCTTGAACTGTCGATAGGCTCTAACTAGGGAACGATAAGCTCTAACTAGTGACTCTAAGGTAACTAACAAAAGACTCACAAGGGAAAGTCAATTGGGTGTGCCGGCAAAATGACACGAGCTATAGACCATTCGACGCAGAATTTCACGCATAACTTTTGACAGAGTACTCCTTAGCTGAAACGGAAAGCAGATTCGGAATCAGCGTACAATTCTGCGTCTATGGCTCGTGACATTTGGTCGGCCGGCATCGACATTTGGCCAGTTGACCTTCCTTTGTTAAAAAATTTTTTCTGGTCTCTTGAGCTACAACCAACGCACATCAGTGTACGTATTGCCGGGAATCAATGGATTGAATGTCCACATGCCGACGTCGACGTTGAAGGAGAGAGACGGCGCCACCCAAATCACGGGCTAGCATGGGCAGGGGGGAAAATCCCCCCCCCCCCGTTATAGGGAAGGTACCCATTTCGAAAGCCACACTCAAATTTATCCTACCGCTACAC